TAACGCGATTATATACGCATTTGACCGCAACGCCCTCTCCTCTATAGACGTTGAGCGGCTACATGCAACGCTTCATCCATGACATTCCCAGCTTTTGAGTTACTACCACATCTCGGAGCCCCCTACTCGTCCTGCAGTCGCGGTCGAGTGGTTAAGGCGATGGACTAGAAATCCATTGGGGTCTCCCCGCACAGGTTTGAATCCTGTCGACTGCGCAAACATTTTTTTTTTCTTTTTTTTTTAAGAAGACAGGTGGGATGGCAATCGATGTGAGCACGGACGCCGGACAAGGCTAGACCCTAAGGAGCTTCGCCCCTAATAAAAAAAGATGGCCATGAACGCGTTGAAAAGCAATATGAACGACAAAAAATATTGGAAGGTGGCTAAAGCAGCGGAAAAACGACACATTCAAAATAACTAGAAAGCAAATCCTTAGTTTTACCCTGAAGTAACTCGTTCCTTTTGAATCTCGGTAACGAGTAACGTACTTCGTCACTTTTTAAGCGAGTAACGAGTAACGGTATTACAGTTACTTTTTTTTAAAGTAACGGCGGTATATCGGTTGGTGCTTAGCACCAAAGAAAGACAGGCATGATCGTAGACAAGGTGGACAAGGCTCGAACTGGTTGCGCCGGCCGATGTTCCATTTATTGGTCCCGTGCTGCATGGTGAATGGCGCACCTGCTGACGGTGATGCCGCTAGGCCGATTGCCGACACCCCATTTCTCTATAGGAGTATTAAAAGAAAAACACACACACACATTATACACAAATACACTTACTCACTCAGTATATAAAATAGTTTTTCTCAGTCCTTTGTTTGATGCAATTCAATCGCCCCTCTTGCTGAAGGTCCTCATTATATGTCAAGCGCTGTGGCGGACAGACTTGTCGGGACGATCGCCTGAGCGAAGGTGACGATGGTGGCGATCTTGTATTCTGACTGGTGGTGCTAACTGCTTGTTCCACTGGTGTTGCTAAGTTATCAGTAGCACTGTGTCCCGGCAGTGAAGGTGTGTCCATGTCATAACCATCAGAGTCGAACTCATCGAGAAAACTGGACGCCTCTTCCGTCTTCAGAAGATGTTGGCTGTTCCTGCGCATTTCTCGTCCCTTACCTGTGCGAATTCGATATTATCTCGGGCCTTCGCCACGCACAACTTGCGCTTTTGTGTCCCAGGATTTCTGCCGTCTTAATCGAACGCTGTCGCCTTCTTGTAACGGAACGAGTTGATGTCCACGATCCAGGTTCTGGGCGTGCTTGCGTATACGGAACGTGCCTGACGGGTCGCAAAGTCTGGCAGAAGAGTACGGGGCCTGTGACCTATTAGTAGCTCTGTTGGAGCTGTCCCACACTCGAGCGGCGTCGCACGGTAGTTCAAGAAGCCAAGTCTTAGCCCGAGTATATTCGCATTTTTTTCAGGAGCCTTTTGACAACCTGTACGGCTTTCTCGGCGAGGCCATTGAATCTGGGAAAGTGTGGACTGGAGGTCACATGTACAAAATCAAAACGTGCAGCGAAATCTGAAAAGTCTCGTGCCGAGAACTATATGGTCCACCATCAGTGAATGGGTATTCTATCGCTAGAGAAAGTACTTTCTACGACGCTGAAGTCGTGTCCTGCAATTCCGAAACTTCTGGAAAATTTGAATAAGAGTCATAGATGACCAGATAGTTTCTTGCCGCAAATTGACAATGGTCTGCTCCAACTCTTGCCCAGGGCTGCCTGGGCGTCTCTCGGAGCAACAGCGGTTCCTCGGGATGACAATATGTGAAGTGTTTGCAGGTGGAACACTCTCTGGTCCACGCAGTGATGTCTGCGGTTATTCTTGGCCAGAACATTAATTATCTCTCACAAGATTGGCATCTTTCCCGTCCTATACTCTGTTTCACCTTATGATGTACCGCAGGAAAGGCTACAAACGCGAGCTCCTTGCTCTGGGGCACATCTCGGCGGTACAAGCTCTCGTGACTTAAGAGCGGCTGCCAACGCTATGGGCTCGCGCTTCTAGCCTTCGCTGCGGTACAACATAAGGTGAAACGGAGTATAGATGTCCGCAATGCACGCGCTGTAGCATCTCTTTTCTAAGGCATCGTGCTATGACAAATTTGGAGTCCGAATCACGCTATTTATATAATTGCAGTGACCAAATTTCCTCTGTACGGCCATTACAGTGCTGATTAACGTGGTATCAACAAGACAACAAATTGTTGACGTTGCTGAGTAGTTTTTTCGGCTATGATGGCACATTAGTTATAACATAGTCAGGGAGGTTGTTGTTGTTTCGTGTTTTTTTTTTTTGTTTTTGGTAGTTATTTAAACAGGGGATTAGCCGAGGATCTGAATGGTTCGTGTGCCAATGTTTGATAATTCTGAATATCCAGGGTGGTGATTGCTCCAAAGCAAAACGACAACCTCTAATCTTGTTATCCCAGTTTATAACTGGCACATCCATTATTGGTCAACCTGCAAGGTTCGCGGCTGTAACTTGACCGCACGCCATCAATTGAGACAAGTACGAAGTTATCAGAGAGTCGAAGTCAGGAGGAGGAGGAGGAATTCCTTAGGTGGTAGAGAGGACAGAGTTTGTCATGCGGGAAAACACCGACGATGTCCCGTCCGAAAAATAGAGGGGAACGTAAAGAGCAGAGAAAGAAAACAAGAGATGGGGAGGGAGGAAGGAAGGAAAGAGGAAGAAAGCCGGCGGTCAATATTAACAATCACTTGTTGCTACACATACACACACCCATACGCGCTGTTTTAGAATCGGCTGCTTTTAAAATTGTGCTAAAAATCCAAAACTCTTAAAAAAATACCGCAGAAAAAGGGCTTGAATATGTCTGCGGCGGTCTCAAGAGCCCCCTAGAAAATAATGTCATCAGTTTCCTCCAGTGGAGGACGAAGGTTTTGAAGCTGCTGGGAGAATCTCTGCCTTTAGATGATGTGTTTAGGACATTCCCAGGGCATGTGGTCGACGTCTTCTGGGACCTTGCAACCGTCACACAGAGGCGACTTCCTTTTGCCCCATCGATGCAATACTTTTTCGCTTTTCTCACTTGCAGTACGGAGGCGAAGTAGAACTGTAGCTTATCTTGCAGAGTTTTTCACCCAATAAACGCAGCCAGAAGGGGCACGGCCAAATCGATCATTTTTAATACAGACGAGGCAAGCGGGTTGTTGACGCCCGCCACCAACCTACGAAGAACTTGCAGGAGGGACATGACGAGACTCTGCCAGCCTAAAAAAGACTGAAGTGTAAGCGCAGTTTCTGGAGGAGTTCTCTGTTTCTTCTGACTAGGATATCTTTCCGGTGACGCCTCACGGTAAGGGGCTTGTCTGGCGACTGTTTCTCTTTAATTTCTTGTGGAAGGTGGTTGAACATTCAGTACCTCTGCAACAGCTGGATTACCTAAATCGTGGGAATACTCGGCTTGCCGTCTGTTTTTTCAGGGACAGCATTCGCTTTTACGACGCTTGGCCAGGTTGAATGGTGTTTCGAAGTTTGCGACGACTGTGGTGGTCTCGGCTGGGAGCACCGTGGCTGGGAGTCTTCCTTGTTTTGTTAAGCTTAGTGACAGCTGCTTTTGCGGTGGCGTGGTTCACTCCACTTTGTTTTCGGTAGTCGTTCATCTTTCTCACGAGTTTGATTTTCGGGCAATGTGGCGATGTCGCATGATGTTTACCTCTACAGTTCACACTTTTGAATGGGGCGTTGGGCGGGCATTCTTCGGTGTCATGGGCGTTGGAGCAGCACAGAAATACCTTTTGACGCGCACCCGTTGGGGTTAGGTAACCAAGTTTCACGCACGAGTGGCATTGCACTGGGCGTGGTGGGTATGCGGTGACTGGATGTCGGACGCAGCCCACAGCGACATGACTTGGCAGCTCATTCCCGACGAAAGTAAGGCGTACTGTTTGGAAATCACCCAATCACCCGAGTTGAACAAGGTTAATTCTGCTCTTAAGCTGTGCCCTGGGATCTTCTTCAGTAATGTTCTTCAAAACGTCCTTTATGACACTCACGGCACGAGTTTTTAGACCTTGGTTCATACGCGTACATCGGTACATCTAGTAAACTTTCACACTTCAACAGCTGCGCTGTAGTTTGTAATAGCAATGACGTTTAGTACCTTATTTGGCCTGATTTGCAGGATGCTGGGCGGAGCGATGTCTTCTAACTCCGCGGTCAAGCGAATACTATTAAAGGTTGTGACTTGCTTTGTGGGTTTTTTTCGGCGTGAAGAGCCGGAGAGAACGTGGTGGTGGGTGCCATTATCTTGGGCGCAAGGTTGGGCGTTCTTTTCCTCCGTTTGTTAGAGAGCACAGTTTGGAAGTCCCGCATATCGAACGTGATATCCGATGCGTCTGAGGTAGATTCTGTGTAGTAGTGCGATGAGAGTGATAGTGCGCTCGTTGGGTCCTTCACTTTGGTGAGGTCCTCATCACGCTCTGTCATGCTGAAGCCATCCTGAATTTCTTCTGGGTGGCACTTTAAACCGGACAAAGAAGCTGTCTCCTCGGGATACGCAAAAGAAGCATTGGTTATGGTGGGGTTGATCGCATTTAACGTCGCTTGTTTTTGGGAGGTCATCGCAGCTAGATGCCTGTCTCCCTTGCGGGAGAACTGATATTCCCAGTTGCAACTTTCAGATGCAATTTAGTGAAAAAAAGTGTTTTCCGATAAAATAGTACAAGTTATTGCTGACCTGCAAAAAAAGTACTGTTCGCCATCCGAACACTTCGTCGTCCTCCCCTCGAAGCCACCGTTTGTATTTGCCAAGCTGCCCGACGATTTCAGCGGCGTCAGCAACGCGCCAGGCAGCATGCTGCCTTTCTCGTGCAACCTGCTGGGCAGCCTTCATTCCATCTCCACAAAAAAAGGCAGTCGGCGATGAGGCACTGGGCATCAGATCGATGAACCGGTGGAGCTGATGTGAACGCGGCCCTTTCGAGATTGCCCTCGGAAGATCGGCTGCTTAGCCCTACGAATTCCCCCAAGATGGCCTCGAGTAGGCCCACCGTATTCGTCAGCAGGAATGACGTGCCACACGAAGCCATTGACCTCTTGAAGAAAACGTGAGTGCTACTTGGTGCACGGGTGCGACTCCTTTGCAAGTTTGTAGTCTAACCAAAATACGGCTCTGATTCTACGCGACCAAATGACGTGTCCGTAACGTAGCGAACGAGGGAAGCAGTGCGCCTCTGTCACTACGATGTCATTTATGCCTTTTTTCACATCTCTCAAAACTAAAACTTTATTGTCACTGGCAAGGTGAGAATGGCATGGCGGAGTTTCAGCTGTCCCGCCTTTAGCAAAGCACGGCAGAAGGCATAGAGCGCGTGCTGGAAGCCGTGCATTCAAAAGATACGCCCTGCCGACAGGAAGGTCCTTCAGTTTCCCCGCCGCCAGAGCGAGTCCTTCGGCATCTCGTGAGCTTCGAACGCGCACGAGCAGCCAAAGCACGACGGAAGGCAACGACCGCGTGCTTGAGGCCGGACACCGGAGAGAGACGCCCTGCCGTTTTCTATATGGCTACAAGGGGAAGAAGGCTTCCTGGAGTCTTGTTTTCCGATTCTATTACCGGCTTCTGTAACAGCTTTGTCTAAACTCCTTTCATCGCATGGAATTATGTGAACCTCATGTAAAATGTTACTTGTAGGTGTAACTTAAAAGTAGTTCACTGCATGGAAAATAATTGGAAAGAACTATGGACGCAACACGTCAACGGGATGAATGCCCTCTACATACAGAGCTACGAAAAAATTGACGCAGAAACGCTGAACCTAGTAGGTAAGTGACGCAGATCGTGCAGGCACGCCGAGACATTTTGGGGAGGCTGTCACTCGAAAAGGGTGCGTTCCGCTGGCAGGTCCAAGTTTGCAAGTAGTGTCCACGCTGTCCGCAGGTCACGAACACATCGACAGAGACGAGTGTCGCAAGAGGTAGGCGGTAAAATCGATGGAGAAAAAAAAATCATGACAAATTCTTTTTATTGCAGGAATGTTCACGTGGGCAACACTCCGCATGTACAGGACGACGCAGTCGCTGAATTTGCGGTGGCACTGACTCTTGCAGCTTCCAGACGAATGTTCGAAGGCGCCAACGCCATACTCGCGTACGTTACCGCAGATAATAATAATAATAATCAAAAATATAACGTTAGCCTTCTTCTTATAGTTGACAAATGCGCATTCGGTTTCATTCAAGGGGAGATTGGACTCTGGAAAATTGGGGTATCTGCTGGATGCTTGGCCCGGAGCTGGTAGGAAAAGTCGTTGGCATTGTGGGCCTGGGTGGAATCGGTACGTACACTTTTCATAATTGGTATGTGACGTGACGACGTCATGACATCTGTGACGTCATGAAGTGACGTGACGACAAGACAGAAGTTAGCCTGTTCAGGTATGGGCGCCATTGCCTTTCGTGACCCTGTGCGCCATGGGTAATCCCCACAGGGTACAAATATTTGCGCCTTAGAAAGGGGACTTAATCGTCTTCTGCGGTTTTGCAAGGCACGGTAATATTGACAGGGCTGAGGAAATGGCGACGCCGAATGACAAGTTGACACTAAAACGAGGTCTGGCGATGAGCATGGCACCTTGCACGTTACGTACGCCAGCGCAGATTGTATTTTTTTGTCAATACGGTTTTTGGACAATATTATTGAAATATATTCGTGATGTGATGGGCTCACAAGTATAAAAAATGAGAGCTTTCATAAAACACAATGACAAATGTTGGGCACAGTGATGTCGATAGATGCTTTTAGCTCAACGCAGAGCCGTGTATAGAGAGGGTTTGGTCAATGGGAGGCGCGGGTAGAGCCAGTGCGTGCACCAGACTCAGAAAGAGGGCCTGACATGCTCTCTGAACCAACCAGAAGCCGAAAAGAATCCCCTAGCGGTGATAGCGAGAAACAGTTTTAATCATAGGTATATGGTATTAATAAGCGCGTAAGAGTTAAATGTAGGTAACCCTTCATGGTTAAAAACAGGGAGCACGTGATGTTTCGATTATGACCATGCAGAAAGATGTAAGAGACAAATGTGCCGCTCGAAGTCTGTTTTGCTCGGACAGAGTCTGATCGCTCGGACGGCAGATTCCCGGCCCTCGGCGCCTGGCGTACGGATTATGTCGATCTTTCCAATAGTCGCACTCTTCCACCATGATACTGGATGACCATGATTGAAACACCACGTGCACCATATTTTCAGTCACCGAGAGTTACTCCGACGCGTTTATTAATTTCGTTTCTCGCGACGAACGCCAGGGTATTATTTCCGGCTTCTGGTTGGCCACATGCGAATTTCTGAAGACATCCTGGAACACGAACAGCACGCTTTAGGCCAATGGCGCCTCCTCATTTGTCTCCTATAGTTCCCACTGAATTGCCAAACTCTCTGATTATACGGCTCTGACTCAATGAGCACACATAGAACGTGTATACTATTATCTTCGACACCATAGTGTAACTAAACGGCGGCGTCGATGTCTATACTCCATTCGCCTTTAAGCAGAGACTGCAGCCAAAGCTACAAGCCCGCGCCCCTGGCTTTGAAATGTGCATTTCTAGCGCGAGTGCTCGTTCTGCAGAAGAACGCTTCAAAACCGCGACCTCGATTTCTCTCATTGACTGCAGTCTCAGCTTCAGGGTGAACGGAGTATATCATCCTCGCCTTCGCGAGCCAGTTCTCGAAATCTGTTACTATTCCTTAGGTCTGGAAATCGTCAACCGGTTACGGGCCTTCAAGGTCCGAAGCTTCTTGTACTACAACAGGCGTCCCAGAATGGATCGTGAGTTGGGTTTCAGTTTATGGTTTAATGCGCTGTTTCCAAACAAGCCCTCACGAGGTGTGGGCAAACTCGCAGTTTCCGGACGAGGTGTGGGCACTGCGCATGCGCAGAAACCAGATTCGCGACGTGCGCATGCGCCCTGCCGCAGTGGCGTGACGTCAGCGCCGCGTCTGACGTCACGCCGCTGAGGTGGCGCTGCTGTCAGCACGGCGCATGCGCAGACGCTTCATATCACGCGAATTTGGTTTCTGCGCACTGCCCGCACCTGGCGTGGGCAGACGCGCAATAGCGTGTCGGTCTATGCACATTCGAGCTCTCTGTTCTGGGTATATCTTCAACCTGGCAACCGTCACGCATGCTGCCTAATGATCAGCGCTGCCGCACGACATCCAGTACAGCTCCCTCAAGCATCTGCTGGTGAACAGCGACATCGTGATCGCCAGCTGCCCGCTGAATCCGGAGTCTCGGCACATGTTCAACGAGAAAACTTTCAGGCAGATGAAGCCCACGTCTATATTCGTCAACGTCAGCAGGTATACAGTTCTGGTGAAAACCGCTAGGACCAGCTGAATGAACCCGGATAGTCGCGCCAGTGAGAAACTTGCATGTAATACATTCTGCGACACTTACGAAGCAGCACGTCCTGTTAAGTTAAGCGCAAGATAAATTATGAGCACACGTTCTCATACGCGCTGCGGACGATCTGAGTTTGGATTGCTATTTCCACCAGCCTCTACTAAATTATATTTTATAACATTATCTTTCATTGCTGTCCCTTCTATTCCGTGTCTTCCTACTGTCCCAAACTAAAGCAATAATGGTAAACAATTCATTAAAACAAATCGTTCTCTACAACTACCTTTAAGGCTGCCGCTGTGTTCAGGCTGGTCAGGGCAATATCTCTTGCTAAATCATCCAGCCGACGCTACGAGCTGATGGGACCAATCAGACAGCGTCAAAAACGCACCATCATGGAGTTTGTCATGTTTCTGCACGTGCCCTATTATCGCTTAATCACTCATAAAAAAAAAAAGTCCAGTGACTTGTACTATTGACGCTGCTTGATTGGTCCCATTAGCTCATAGCGTCAACATACTGCGAAAGTATAGACCGTTCCAATAAAAAGCTTCTGGCAGGCTCATCAAAGTTCGCGCGTATGGCGTGTGCTTTGCTCGCTTTCTAAAGTCACGAACACGCGCGTCCTGGGCAGTGGATCTGTAGACACTGAAAAGGTGTATAGACCGTTTCAAATAACGAGGTTTTGGCATATTCTGTTTTGATAGTTATTGCGCATGTCACGTGCTTTGCTCGCATTCCGAGGCAATGAACATACTGACCTGTGCAGCTGCACGCATAGGCTGCGATTTCTGGCATTTTCGAATATGTACCTTTGAAGGCATTGCCACAAAAAAATTGTCTCCGGGTGTATAGTTACACACGCTACACGTGTTGGAGTCTGTAGCATGCTACCCTAAAGCGAAAACCTAAAACAAATAAAGCTTCGAGGTGCCTCCTTTTGATTTTGATCGTCTACTCCAGTGGTTCTCGAACATGGATGTGTCGGAGACCCGTTAGGGACCCGCTAAAGCAATGGGAGACGGTATAAAATAAGACAACTAACTGCGGTGTAAAAAGGGCATCGTTTACTGTTATAGACGGGAGGAGTGAGAATCATCAGGTAAAATGATGGATAGATGGTAACGGCTGTACCCTTTATCACGGGCGGTAGCTAGCGTCACCTAGCGAAAGTTTATTTATTTATTTATTTTTTTTTTTTATGGAGAAGGGGGTAAAGGAGGGATGGGGTTTGAGGCTTTGTTGAAGCGAGGGCTTCGCGGAACCCCCAGCGACTCCGCGGAACCCCAATTGATGACCGCAGGTCTACTCTATATTCATTATGTGATCGCGTGCAGCGCCTGTAGCAACTTGTTCTCAGCGTTCCCCTTGGTGCGCTACCAAAAGCGTCGCCGTGGATGGCCAAACGACTGGAATGAGAGCATTGTCAGACCGTCGAATTCGATGGTGTTGATTTAGGAACGCGACAACGCCCAACTTTCACCGTACTTTTTACACAAAGCATGGAACTTGTGGTAACGACTGACGATAAGCAGGCAGGATCCCAAATCGTGATGTCACGGCGAGGCAAATCCTGATCGCGACGTCACGGATGAAAGTCATAAGAGAGCGCCACCGAAACATCTCAGCGCTAATATACAGTTTCGAAGGCCCGTAGGAAGTGGGAGAAAGCAATTACAGACCGCGTGCACCGGAAGCAGTTCAAATCAGCGGCTATCGGTTCTTCCAAACAGCTTAGCGCTCTCACTGTGACTAACTGCGACGTGATGCCTAGGTTCAACCGCTTCTAAAGCGCTGGATATATCCAATTAACGGTTTAATTCGGAATTAGGGTTCCACGTAGTCGCAGCTCTTATGGCCCCGAATGCATTTATGACGTAAAATAAAGCCCTCTCACATCCTCTTTTCAGTACAGAAGTTAGCCGCGGCAGTGGCGTTATGTTTTTAAACGGTCGGTAAGCAGCTTAGGAAAATGGATAATCTCTCACGTGATTGGCCAAATATCGCTAACTGTTGTGTGGGATTGTTTTCTCCCTACCTAATTACTCATTGAATGATATGTATTCCCATTATGCTCGGCGACAACTTTTCTTGGCAATGCAGTCGAGAGGAGGAGAGCCCGCGCACGGCTTTATTCGGCGCTCAAAATGGGAGAAGGAACGCGTGCCTGTACCCCCCCCCCCCCCCCTCCCCCCTGCATTGCCAAGAAAAGTTGAGGCCGAGTATAGTGTTTTCGTGTATCGTGCCTATAATTCCTCTGTGAAAAATTTATTTGAAAATTGTGGGTGCTTTCTGAATAGTGTAGAGGACCTAACTTTCGCGAAGGCCCAATCTTCGCGGATTTCGCGACTTGTACGATATCGCGAAACATAGGTCCCGCGAATATGTTTTTCTGTCGTAACAAATGCGTAGCATACCAGCCTTATTCGCGAAATTTCGTGCGTGCAAAATCTTCCTGGAGTCAGACTTGGACGAGTTGCTAAATATTGAGCCCGCGAAGATAAAGTCGCTTACAGTATTTCTCCATTGCGTAAATGTATTCATTCGTGTTCCTAATTAGCGACTTGTTAACGTGTAAGTTTATTTTATGTGGGCTTTGCTGCTATGTTTTTATTATCTCATATTTTTGAACATCTTGTAAAATAGCTCATTGTCACCAATATATTAAACGAGAAAAATCACGAAATTAAACTCGCTCGCCGGTGTTCGCCTTTGCCAAAACTGATTTTCAAGCTTTTGCAATCCCCGCGGTACGCATCAGCTCCCGGCCAAGTCCCATTAACTTCGCAAAATGAAATTCAAGCCCATGCAAGTCCGCCTTCCCCCGATGAAATAACGTCGCAATCCATGTACCTCTCTGTTGCGATCTTTAGGGGCGAAATCGTGGACCAGGACGCCCTCTACGAGGCCCTCAAGAACAACGTCATCGCCTTTGCTGCGACGGACACAACGACGCCCGAGCCTCTGCCCTATAGCCATCCTCTTTTGACACTCAAAAACTGCAGTAAGTACCTCTACTGACACGGAGGGGCTTGAGAAAAAAACCCTCGTGGTTTAAAATCAATCCAAGGAAGCGGACGGAACGCTGGAGAAGAGAGGGGGAAACCTCCTCCTCTTTTTAGCGTTTCGTCTGCTTCCTCCTCTCCGGCCCGTTTTACCCTCGCCTTACCCTCTTGAGTTGCAACGGACTACGGTTTCTGTGCACACCGCAACTGTACTAATAATAAAAAAGAGAGAGAGACACACACATATGACGCATATTAACCATATGATATCCCATAATATCGTATAAAAGAACCATATGGCAATTGTTATGACTTTTTTTTTTCCTTCAGTGAAGAACGCACAAAATAATTTAATGTTTTTTCGCGGTTATTTATCATACTTTTCGTTTCAGATGGCACGTAGATGGCATTATTTTCTGCCACTGGTAATCATTTTAAAATTAGTGATATTTTAATTAAATCAATGTGGCGAACAGAACCGACAGCATTTTATATCTGTATATTACGTGTATAAGGTACGAGAGATTGGCTTGAATCACTTAAAATTGCAAAGTTCGCTGGTAAAACTATATAATAAAGATTTTCCTTTATATAGGTTTTTCATAAACGGTATTGTGGAATATGAGTTGTACGGGTGCATGTTTTTCTTTTTCGTTTTTTTTTTTTTTTTTTTTTTTCGGTAGTATAACGCTAATATGCATACATCTTTTTTTTTTTTTTTACTTTTTGTTTTGCTGGAAATTCGGGGCAGAACAGCTTCGCCTTTCTTATTATAAATGCTGCTGTTGTGTGTACACTCTGTAGATTCAAATAATGTTCTACTGAACTCGTTTTATTTTTCTGAGAGATTACACAAGAATAACGACATTAAAACTACGAGGAATGTTCCTGCGTCCTAACCGGGCGCTGCCCGCAAGGCGTCTGCCCTCCTCTCCTCTCTCCTCTCTTGCCGTGGGGGCGACTTGAGTTGTTTAGTCTACCACCACGGAGGTCTGGCCGACTGGCCCGCAACCGGGCCCCCGAGCTGGTGTCGGGTATCCCCGGTGCGTGCCGGCCTCCTCCGCGGCTCGAGGGAGCGTGTTGCGGGGAAGACGATGCTGTCGCTGCAAGCCTCTACATCACTCCCCCCCTAGTGGCACAGAACGCAGAAAGGTGGCACGAGCAGGAGAACTTGAAGTTTATGGTTCACGCAGGGAGAGTTGAAGCCTGTCCGGGTAGTGAACTCGCCGTCCGGAGCGTGTGGTTCTTTCCGGCTTTTTCGAGATAGGGAGCGCTCCCTGGTCTTGCGCGGGTAGAGAAGCCGGTGAAGAACGAGGCGAAGAATTTGTAGCTGGTGGAAGGATGGGGAAAGGGAAATCGGCGTCGGAAGCGGTGTTTACAAAAGCGGGCTTCAGGCGGTCGGTGGCGATTACTTGATTGTTTCCCCTGATTGTGACCGTGAATTGTTTGGGTCCCCGTTTTACGACCTTGTAGGGGCCGTCGTACGGTTGTTGGAGGGGAGTTCGCACCGCGTCGTGTCGAACGAACACGTGCGTGCAGGTGTCGAGATGTGTGCTGACGTAATGGTCTCGACGAGCCGTTCGAGGTGGGGTCGCGCGTAGTCCTTCCATGACCTCTTTTAGGCGGGTCACGTAGCTTATTGGGTCGGACAAGTCTCTGTTGCTCGCTGGTGTGAAAAATTCGCCAGGTAATCGGAGTGTGGTGCCATAGACCAACTCTGCTGTTGTGCACGAGAGGTCTTCCTTGAGCGCTGTCCTGACACCAAGAAGGACGAAGGGCAGAACGTCAGTCCAGTCGGTGCGCTGGTGGGCTTTCAAGGCTGCCTTCATTTGCCGATGGAACCGCTCGATGATCCCATTGGCAATCGGATGATAGGCGGTTGTTTTCGCATGCTTTGATCCGAGCAGGCGCGTCAGTTGAGTGAAGAGTGACGATTCAAACTGGCGTCCGCGATCGGTCGTGATGATGGACGGTACTCCGAAACGTGAAATCCAAATTGACACAAAAGCGCGAGCGACGGTTTTGGCAGTAATGTCCGAGATGGGAATAGCTTCCGGCCAGCGTGTGAATCTATCTATGCAAGTGAGGATGTACCGCTGGCCTTGTGATGGTGGTAGCGGTCCGACAATGTCAACGTGGACGTGGTCGAACCTTGCATCGGGAGTCGCGAAGGTGGAGAAAGGCGTAATGGTATGTCGCTGGGTCTTAGCTCGCTGACAGGATATGCACTCTCGAGCCCACTGACGAACATCGCGATTCATGCCGGGCCAAACGAAGCGAGAAGTAACGAGATGCTGTGTTCCCCGTATGCCCGGGTGCGATAGCGAGTGCAGTTTCTCGAACACCAGTTTACGGAAGTGTGCGGGAAGAAATGGACGAGGCGCTCCCGTCGACATGTCGCACCACAGAGTTGCGTCATGCATGGGCAGTGGTACCTCTCGCAGTTCCATCGAGTGCGTAGCTGTGTGCAGTTGGCCGAGCTCGGTGTCTCTTTTCTGAGCAGCAGCAAGGGCGGCGAAGTCCAGCACTGGGCGTTCAGCGGCGCCGATGCAGAGGCGTGACAAGGCATCCGCCACCGGGTTGTCGCGGCCGCTCACGTGTCGCACGTCCGTCGTGAACTCCGAGATGTACGACATTTGACGAAGTTCACGAGTTGTGTGGGTTTGGCTATCCGACTTCAGCGATCGTATTGCGAAGGTCAGTGGCTTGTGGTCAGTGAGAATGAAGAAGCTTCTTCCCTCCAAGAGATGGCGAAAGTGGCGAAGCGTCAGATATGCGGCGAGAAGCTCTCGTCCGAAGGTGCTGTATCTGCGCTCGGTGGGTGACAGTGTCTTGGAGAAAAAGGAGATGGGCTTCCAGATGTTGTTTTGCCATTGCTGAAGGACCGCTCCAATCGCAACTTCCGAAGCATCCGTCATGGCGCACAGGGGAGCGTTGTCCTCGGGGTACACCAAAAGGGTTGCGTCGGCGATGTCTGCCTTGATTTTGGTGAACATGCGCTCCGCTGTTGCATCCCAGGTCAAAGCCGCTGCCTCGCCGTGGCTCTTTTTGAGGAATTCTTGCAGCGGTTGGAGGGTTGTTGCGCAGTGGGGGACAAAACGCCGATAAAAATTGACGATTCCGAGGAACTCCCGCAGCTGGCGTCGTGTTGACGGTCGAGGAAAGTTCCGGATCACCTCAACCTTCGCGGGAAGTGGACGGATGCCTTGGTGGTCAATGTGGTGTCCCAAGAACTCCAGCTCACCTACACCGAACTGACACTTGGCGGTGTTAATGATGATGCCGTAGCCCCTGAGACGCTCGAACACAGCTTTGAGGTGTTGTTCGTGCTCGGCGGGTGATGAGCTTGCGATGAGAAGGTCGTCGACATAGGCACGGCAGAAGGTTAGTCCCCGGAGTACTTCGTCAATGAACCTCTGAAAGGTTTGGGCGGCGTTCCGAAGACCGAACGGCATCCGGACGAATTCGTATAGTCCGAATGGCGTGATGATCGCGGTCTTCGGCACGTCGTCCGGGGCGACGGGGATTTGGTGATAAGCGCGCACCAAATCAATCTTTGAAAAGATGCATGCTCCGTCGAGGCTGGATGTTATGTCTTGGATGTGGGGGATCGGATAACAGTCGGGAGCGGTGACGCGGTTTAATGCGCGGTAGTCGCCGCATGGTCTCCAGTCTCCGGCTGTTTTCTTTTGTACCATGTGCAGTGGTGAGGCCCATGAGCTCGACGACGGTCGCACGATGCCCAATTCAAGCATGTGCTGGAATTCCTGTTGAGCAATTCGCAGCTTGTCAGGGGCGAGACGACGCGGTCGAGCATGGACGGGAGCTCCGGTGGTTTCAATATAGTGAGAAACGCTGTGCTGCACAGGGCGTTCGTCACAGCCAGTGCGCGTCAACTCCGGGAACTCGCGCAAGATGGTTGTGAATTGTGTTGGGGCGTTAGGAATGACATGCGCCGGAGCTGGAGAAGGCACTGCGGATGATACGCCCGACACGGAGAGGTTAGTTATCGTGTCGAGGAGACGCCTTCGTCCTATGTCCACCAAAAGTCCGAAGTGTCGGAGGAAGTCCGCACCAATGATGGCATGTTGCACGTCCGCGACGACGAACACCCAGCGGAAGGTCCGTCGGAGACCGAGATTCAAGGTTAGCGAACGCTCACCGTAGGTGGGAATTGGCGTCCCGTTCACAGCTTGGAGCTGCGAGGTGCTGGACATCCGCTTGTCTTTAGGTGTTGCCGGTAGTATGCTGACCTCGGCACCGGTATCCACGAGGAAGCGGAGGCCGGTGTCGCGGTCGGGGACGTAAAAGAGGCGTTGGCGGCTGTCCGGAGTGGCCGAGGCACTTGCCGCCTCTAGTGCTCCGCCGTTCCGTTTCCCGTGTAGTGGCAGGGTGTGGTGCACTTAGTGGCATTATCGCCGAAGCGGCGGTGGTACCAACAGATGTCGGTTCGTGCTGGTGAAGAAGATGGACGGCGTCGTTGGGACCGCGACAGGCTACGTCCGCGGTGTTGCTGCAGGGTCGCGACGGCGGTCGTCAAGCGGGAGATCTCCGCGCGGAGCTGTTGTATCTCGTCCGTAGGAGCTTGGACGGCCGATACAACCGGAGTCGAAATCTCCATCAGCTTGTCGGCGAGCTCTGCCAGGTGTTCAACACCGAGGTCTCCAACGGACGCCAAGATCATGCGCACGTTGTGGGGCAGACGCTGGACGAACAGGTTCCGCAGGAACGAAGCGTCGATTGTAGATGCCTTCTCACCCATCAGCTGCTGCATGCGGCGCAAGAACTGGGTAGGTCGGCGGTCACCAAGTTCCTCGGTGGTCAGGAGTTGTTGTAACCGTCTTTCCTCAGAAGCTGTTGTGCGGCGGATCAGCTGCCGCTTGAGGGTGGCGTAGGCATCCGTGGCTGGTTGCTGGAGGAGCAGGTCGCGTACCTCGCTGGCGATGTCTGGTGGAAGGCTGGCCACGATGTGATGATACTTGGTGCGATCAGCGGTGAT